CCCCCGGGGCGTGGGGGCTTTTCGGGGCCAGCCACTGGGCCAGTCCGAGCCACGGCAGGACAGAAATGATTTGACTAGACTTCAGGGCTACAGCGACAATACCTCCAGGAAGTCTAGCCAGAACTGGGTCATGCAGGGCTGGCCCAGGCCCAGCAGCACCTTGCTACTACCTCAGGAACTGCCCATCACACCCACCTCTCGAGGCCACACACAAGGGCTTCTGGGAAATGACAAAGGCACAACCAAGAGAAGCGCCTTGTGTCAGGAGAAAGTATGAGGTTGCTGCATGGTGGCTGCCCCTTGCTGCCCGAAGCCCCCAGCCCCTCCCCATTTGACGCCCAATACTCTGGCCAGAAGCTTCAGAGCTGTCAAGCAAACACACACCCACTCCCCTTGGCCTAAGGACTGTCCCAGGAACAATCACATGGTCCTGGAATGCAGACCAAGTGCTGCCCGCCCTAGGCCCAGTACCTTGTCTTCCAGACGGTTCATTAGTGACTCAGAGAGGTGCCCTGCCTTCGTCATGATGGCCACCACCATGCGGCCATCCTCAATTTCTGTCCAGCGCCTCTCCAGGTGCACCAGCAGCTCGGCCAGCAGATCCTGGGAGTGCTGCTCCTGCATGGAAGCAGTGCAGAACTCTGCCAGGAAGGCCAGGTGCTTGTACTTGAGCCTCCGCAGGCGCCAGCGCACCTCCTGCTCCACGGACTGCAGCTCTTTGGAGCCCTCGGGGAGTGCCAGTTTGTACAGGCTCCGCAGCAGCTTTACGAGGGTCCCGTGCCAGATCAAGGATAGCTGGGCAGGAGACAGACACAGGCAGGTCCATTTGCAGCACCTGCTGATGCCGTGCCTGCCCTGTGAACCTGGCTCAGAGGCTTGACTGAAACCCTCAGGGCGACAGCCCCCCACCCAGTTCTCACAGGGCTCCCCACAGCTGCATTTGGCCTATTTCCTGAGCCTGGTCCTCCAGCTTCCAGTAAACCAGTGTTTCTCACTGAGGTAGCCAGAACAGCTTGCTAGTGTTTGCCAGCAAAAACCCTAAGCGGTATGAGAAGTTCTGAGTTCCCCTAATGCAGATCTGATCCGATGTGGCTGATTAAATGGGAGACTGAGCCAATGTCATGTGCACCTGGCTATAGCTCTGAGTGGACATGCAGACTGCAGCTACAAACAGCACTGGGACTGCAGGTCAATGTGAGGCTGCACCCGAGGGATGGGAGTCCCTGGCAGAGCAGGTGGCACTTAGAATATCTCAGGTTCTGTGACCGGCTTGCTACTTTTACTGGCAATGACAAACTTTTTAGCTATTAAAAGTATTGATGGGCCAGCTGGTGGCATGGTGGTTGGATCCCAGATGACCAACTGTATGGTTTGAGTCCCAGATCTGTTGGCTTGAAAATGACACTGGGCGCGTGCATACACGTGCCCAAGATCCCAGGAGGAGAACAGAGAAGGGATTGTGGTGTGACCATCCCCTGGGGGGGATGATTTCTCACTGTCTCTGTCTCTCTTTGGCGACCGCATGCTCCTGGCAAAAAGCTCAAAAAAAAAGAAAAACGCATCTCGTGTGATAAGCAGAATGACATCTTTGCAGGGAAGGTACAGGCTTAAGAATGGCGCCAATGGGACCAGCAGATGGTGTAATGGTTATGCTGCTGGACTCCCACACAGTTGACTTGTGGTTTGAGTCCCAGACCCAGTGGCTTAAAATGCACACTGAATGTGTACTTGCCCAAAATCCTGAGAGGAGAATGGAGAAGGGGCTGCGACATGGCCACCCCTCAAAGGGTGATTTCTCTCTTCCTGTTGTCTCTCTGGTGAGTGCATGTTCCCTACAGCAACAAAAAAAGGTGCCACTACACCCTTCAGTGGTGTGTAGGCCCTGAAGGCCAACCGCGACAAAACTTCCCCAAGGCACTAAGGTTTGCAGGAGAGCCTTGACATCTGGGAAAAAAGACCTCCTCGTATCCCTAAGGCTTGCCCACCCCCAAATGCCAAGGCCCTGTGAGGTACCAAGCTGCCATCACTAGTACCATCTCCCCACAGAGTCGCTGTAAATACCAGGTGCCCTTCTAGGAACAGACCTGTATCCTAGCCTCACAGACCCGAGTCAGCCTCATTGCACCTGGAACCAAGGGAACCTTGTCCTGGAAGTCTCTCAGTCATGTGGACCCAGCCCTGCTCTCCTTGCTGGTGCCTTTCTTTTTCAGTAGGTCTCCTCTCTGCATGCCCCACCTGTGAGGGTGTGAACCCTTGCCTGCCAATGCCCGCCCTTCTCAAGTTTCAGGGACCTGTTCTTGGCCAGGCTGGGAGGCGTGGTGGGGCAATATAAGTCAAAGCTGCCTGGAGAGAAGAGGCACTGTGGATCTGAGAAAAGCCTAGCCCACTGCACACATTCCTATTGCCAGGAGTCCTGTTCTCTTGTTTATAGGAGGTGGTGGCAATGCTTATCTTACAGAGGTCTTATGAGGGTAAACTGAGAGGAAGCACAGGAAAGTGTTCTGAAATTGATACAAGATAGAAACATCACTAGATGTCGAGGGAGCCTGGCTGCTGCTGCTCATCACCTACTGCCGCAGATCGGGGTGCCGATCGGGGTGCCGCTGGCTATCCTAGGGCCCAAGCCCTCAAGACTACATGCTAATGCCCACCTGACTGTTGACGAGATGGAGCAGCTGCTGGAAGCGTGCATCCTGAATGAGTGAGGTCTTGTCTTCTGGCTTCTTGGATAGCAGGCGAGAGAGGTGGATGAGTATGAGAGCTGCGTGGTTGGGGTACAGGTGGTGATCTCTGCCCAGGAGCTCCAGCAGCTGCTCCGGCCTGGTGGCTTTCTCGATGAGCCGGTCTACCTCCTGGGGCTCTGGGTAGGGAGTAAACATTGGTTCCTTCTCTACTAGCTCTGTCAAGGAACCTCGGAAGTGGGAACTAGGTGAGGTGGCGGAAGAAGTTAGAGTCTTATGGGCTGCCCTGGTGATTCTAAGCCAGCCAACTGGAGATGCAGCAGGGGCCGGGGCCGGGGCCAGATGGGCAGCTTCTCTCAGGAGGCATGTGCATCGCTTCACCAGGCGGGCTGCCATGATGGCTGGGGTGGCAGGAATATAAACTCCTAGCAAGTGACTCCAAACCCCTGAGAGAAAGGAAGGAGAAAGAGAGGTAATCAAAGAGCAGCTTTTTAAAAAATTATTTATTTAATTTGATTTATTCATCCATTTATTTTAATTTGACCAGAGAGAGAAGCAGAGAGAGAGAGTGAGGGGAAGTGAGAAAGCAAGCCACCAGGTCGGGAGTGTCCAGCACCTTAACCACCACGCCACCTGCTGGTCCCCCAAAGAGCAGCTTTTTACTAAGTTGGGAGAAAAACATGAGAAATGAAATGGGACCACGGCCACCATCTCTGTAAAACCTGCCTGCCTTTTTCATTTCTCAATACCTGTAAGTGCATGCTAGTGTTTTCTGAGGCAAAAATCTCAGGTTTTGGTTTCAGTATGCACTGCCATCACATAGCAACACCCAGGAGCATTACAGCTTGAGCCGGAGTTTTCAACTGATTGTGCCTCAGAATCTCCTTGGGAATGGTTTAACAATTCAGATATCCAGAAGCTGCCCAAGATCTCCTGAACAGGAATCTCTACTGATAGGGCTTGCGCGTAATTGATTTTTTAATTAGAAGCAACAGGACAGAACATTTTAAATAAGAATGACTCCTGAGAGCTGGCACCTTGGCCTGGTGGTGAAGGGAGTCAGATCCCACATAGCTGATCACAGTTTGAATCTTGGCCTCAGAGGCTTGAAAAACACACCAGGCATGTGTGCTTGTGCACCCCAAATTCCAGAAGGAAATCCCAGAATTTCTTTAAACAAGCAGATAAGTGGAATGTTCAGCTTATATGAATAAATTAATGCTCTGAAGGGCCTGCAACTAGCAGGAATCCTCTTTCCTGGCCTTTATATTCATGAAAAAGAATATTTGGGGACCAGCAGTTAGCATAATGGCTATGTTGCTGGACTCCCATGTAGTTGACCAGGGTTCCAGGCCCGGACCTAGTGGCGAGTGTGCGTACGTGCCCAAGATTCCAAGAGGAGAAGGGATTGTGGCGTGGCCATCCCCCCTGGGGGCTGATTTCTCACTTTCTGTCTCTCTGTCTCTGTCTTTCTGGCAAGCGAATGCCCCCATTGGGGGGGGGGGGACTCTCCAAAAAAAAAAAGAACAAAACTTCTGAACCAATTATAACAAAGCTCCTCATTAACATGTCCCAGAATGATCTTCCTAGTTCTATTTCTTCTCCCTTCCCACTATAAACACCCACCTTCTAATGAAGACTTGCACTCCCCAACTCCGCCTTTTGCAGGGCTAGCTATCCTTCCCACACATCATGGGACCCCCAAAACACACTTCATCTTTCCAAGCTCAGATAAATGTACTTCTCCCAACAGTTTGCTACATATGTCTATTTTACTTTTAACGTTTTGCCAGTCTCCCAGTCTAATGTGATTAAATGACCTAGGTAAGGCATGTAACCGACAATGTAAAACATTAACCTAAGCCTCATTTTCGCCAAAGCAGAAAGCACATTTGATTGCCTTCCGCTTCCCGGAGCTTGATATATGTCTGGCACGTTTTATTTTCACATGAGCGGATTACTGCAGCTGTACAAACCTTTTAGTCTAACTACACACAAAAGGGAAAAGCTCGACTCAGAAGGAACACCTGCAAAGTGTAACATCTACCACTTTCCGAGCCCAGGTGCAGTGGGGAAGCACTGAAAAGCTCTCCTGATTTTTAAGATGATTCTAAGAGCAGTTTACGAGGAGAAAACTGAAGTCTAGAAGCGGGCTTGGGTTTAGGCAAATATCAATCTGGAAACTGGGTGCTAAAATGTACAGAGAATGACCTGCACAAGGTCACGAAACCCGGCTTGCTGGGACACCAAGGGTCAAGGGCCTCCGGGCTCGACAGCGAAGCCACCGCTGGGAGAAGGGCCGCATGCGCACTGACGGGCGGCGCCCAGCGGGACCCGGCGCATACCCAGGCCCACCGCGCCCCAGGGCGCCGACCTGACCGTCTGCTCTCCAGGCCCGGCTGTCCCTTCTCCGAACCCTCAGGAACAAGCCCCGCAGCCCCACTCCCCGTGGCGCGAGGCGGAGCACCGCCACTGACCTCCATGCACTGTCCGCACTGTCCTCAGCCCATGCGGCGCGGCACTCCGGGATACGTCAAGCGGCGTGCCGCCGGAAACGCCGCTCTCTGCTCACCGCCCGGCCGGAAGTACGTCCTCCGCCTCTCAGGCGGGCGCCATCTTAGCTGCGGGCACTCGACGTAGAGGGAAGTGGGTGGTGGCGGAAGTGAGCCGCCGGGGAGCGGGAGCGGTGACAGCGGAGATCCCGAAGGTAGCTGCGGGCTCCGGCGCGCACTGGCTGGGGCGGGCGCGCGTGGTGTGGGCCTGTGCGCGCGGTCCCCGGGCAGAGCGGAGTGGGCCCAGTCGTGACGGGCCCAGGGCTGTCTGCGTGGACCGGTCGATGTGCCTGATTGATGTATCGTGGAATCTGTAATTGCCTGGTTTGTTTGATTAATTCAGGCACAACGTACTTTCTACAGATCCTAGCTCAAATTCTACTCCTTGTGTCTGTCAGAAAGCAACATTATAGCAAATAGTTGAAGATCCCATTGGCTTTAGTTTGCTTTTGGGCAGCCTCCATTCTGTCATACAGGGCTACGGGTTTTGTGAGGTGAGAATAAGCAGACACAATTGAAAAAAAGTAGCTGGTAGCAGCAGGTTACCTCAGAGTGCTGAAGGCAGAATTCTGACTACTTTTCCTATTCCAAAGTTGTTTCCATGAGGGGCCTGCGGGAGTGAGGCCTGTGAACACTAAGGGAGGCCTGCAAACACCACATTAACAGACCGCCTTCCATCCAGTGACCGTCGGTTGCTATATAGTCCTAGGCATAGCGTGTTTAATGGTGCTTAGTAAACCTTTGCTTTCTTCCAGTAAAACAGACATTCTTTTACTGATTTCTTTCAGAAACAGAGACTCTTGTTTTTCTTTAGCCAGTTGCTGATTTGAGAATTTCAAATTCAGAGGCCTGCAGGTGGTGTGGTGGTTCAGGCTCTAAACTTGCACATGGCTGACTTGTCCCTGACCTGGTGTCTTGCTGACTCACTTTCCCTTTCTCCCTCTCTGGTCAAAAGAAAATATAATAATAAATAGGGACCAGCAGAGGGCATAATGGTTATGTTGCTGGACTCCCATGTAGTCAACCTTGGTTAAGTCCTGGGCCTGGTGACTTAAACTCTTACTGGGGATGTGTGTGTGCATAGGAAACATCCCGAAAGGACAATGGAGAAGGGACTGGGGCATGGCCATCCCCCACTTGGGGGTGATTTCTTGCTTACTGTCTCTCTGGTGAGTGCAGTGGTGAATGCATGTGCCCTATAGCAAAAATCTTTCTAAATAAATAAAATAAAATAATTCTTTAAAAAAAAGAATTTCAAACTCATCTAAAACCTATAGGCCTCTGCTTCTATCAATAGATGTCCCACCTTTTTGGGCCATGCCAATGTAAAATACTCCTGATCTCAGAACTTTATGAAAAGGTCCACTATATCTTAGCAGTCTGAGAAATACTTTCGTATTTCTCCTGGCCAGTCACTCAATCTCATGCTTAGCAATAAACCACATTAATTATTGTTTCTGCAGATTTGGTTATTTCCATTGACAGTACTTTCTGAGAAGGTCTAAAGCAGACAAATCCTCCCTATAACCCTAACTCGGGTAGCTAGAAACTTTTCTGTGTTCAGGGAAGACTGATCTTTTGGGGACTATGCTTTCTGAAGGTTTTGTTTTGTTATGTGACATTCAGCATGAAGGACTCCATTTGTCTGGTCACTTCCCTCCTGGCCTAGGGTAGGAGCTCAGTCCAAAACCACACCCTTCCTGTACTTGTCATGTAAGTGTCTGAGGAAAAAATATCAGACTGCTTTTTCCTATTCCAAAATTTTCCTCAAAGGGCCTGGGAAAGTCATACCTACACGCATTATATGAGGCCAGCTGGTGGCATATTGGTTAAGGCGCTGGACTCCCACATGGCCGATTGTAATTTGAGTCCTGGACCTGACGGCTTGAAACTAATGCCTGGCACATGTGCATGCTTGCTCAAAATCCCGAGAGGAGAATGAAGAAGAAAGGACCGTGGTGTGGCCATTCCCCTGAGAGTTGATTTCTCATTTTCTCTCTCTCTGTCTCGCTCTGTCTTTCTGGTAAGCGCATGTGTTCTATAGCAAAAATCTCTCCCTCTCCAAAAAACAAAACAAAACAAAAACAGATCACTTAACGAACGTTAACAGACCACTTTGGTTCATTGATAATAGGACTTTTCCTACCTCGTTTCCCTGGCATAGTATCTTTACGATGCATAGTGTTGACAGAAAATAACTCGTAAAAATAATAATGAATGCAGTTTATTTCTAAGCAGAATATGAGTGACTTAGGCCAGAGAGGAGGCAAAAAAAATGCCTTTCTCTTAGGGTGATCTGGTACAGGGGTTCCTTTTATTTGCTTTTGAGAACGAGAGATAGAGTTTGCAAGTTAGTAAAAAGTTTTTCCATTGACCTGGCTCCAAAAGGTGGGACATGTGGAAAGGGGGCTTGTAGGTTATAGGTGGGTTTTACAGTTTTTAGGGTGGTGATTAGAAAAGGAAGGTTGCTGAGATCAGAAAGGGATATACTTCAACAGCCATAAGGAGGCTTAATATACATTACAAAGATACTCCACTATTATGCCAGGGGCAGGATATAGAAACAGTGGGTCAAAATGGTCTGTTAACATTTGTGGGCAAGACCAGCAGTTGGCATAATGGCTGTGTCACTGGACTCTCATGTAGTCGACTGCAGTTTGAGTCCCGGACCTGGTGGCTTAAACTCACGCTGGGCACATGTGCATGTGTGCCCAAGATCCCAAGTGGAGAATGGAGAAGGGATTGCAGAGGGGGGAGAGGGGGGGATTTCTTGCTTTCTGTCTCTCTGTTTCTCTCTGTCTTTCTGGTGAGCACACACGCCCTGTAGCAAAAAGAAACATTTGTGGGCATGACTCTAGGCTCTCTGGAAAGAATTTTGGAAAAATAGGAAAAAGTAGTCAGACTTCTGTCTACAATAGTAAGACTTCTCTCTATTAAAGTAAAACATAGATATTCTTCTGTAGATTTCTTGCCAGGATAAAGACTTTCCAGTCACCAACCTAAAAATTTGTAAGCCTGAGGCTGGCAGGTGGCATGGTGGTTAAGGTATGTTGGATTCTCACATGGCCGACTGTGGTTCAAGCCCCAGACCTGGTGGCTTGCTTTCTTACATTCTCTCTCTGTCTCTGGTCAAATTAAAAAAAAAAAAGGTGAATAAAATAATTCTTTTTTTCGATAGGTTTTTGCTACAGGGCGCGTGAACTCACCAGAAAGACAGAGAGACAGAGAGACAGAAAGTGCGAAATCACCCCCCAGGGGGGATGGCCACGCCGCAATCCCTTCTCCTCCATTCTTTTCTCGGGATCTTGGACATGCACGCACACGTGCCCATCTTGAGTTTAAGCCACCAGGTTGGGGAATCGAACCACAGTCAACTACATGGAAGTCCAGCGACATAGCCATTGTGCCAACTGCTGGTCCCCAAAAAAATAATTCTTAAAAAAAAATTTGTAAGCTTTCCTATAACCTGCAAGTCTCAGATTCCAGATGTCCCATCTTATTGGACCAGGCCAACCAAAAGACTATACTGAATTACAAACTTTGTGTCTCTTGTGCTCAGAATCAAATAAAAGGAAACACTGTAACTGATCACCCCAGGAAATACTTTTGTCTTTCTCCAGGTCTGGTCACTCAGTTTCATGCCTAGAAATAAACTGAATTGGGGCCAGCAGGTGGCATAGTATTAGGGCACTGGACTTAAAATGACCAACTGTGGCATAAGTTCCAGACCTGGTGACCTGAAAACCATGCCAGGCCCATGTACATGTATGTGTGCCCAAAAACCCAGGAAGAAAATGGAGGAGAAGGGATTGTGACATGGCCATCTCCCTTAAGGGGGTGATTTCTCACTTTACTTCTGTCTCTCTCTGGTGAACACAGTGCCCTATGATTAAAAACCTTAGAAAAAAGAAAAAGGAAGGAAGGAAGGAAGGAAGGAAGGAAGGAAGGAAGGAAGGAAGGAGGAAAGAAAGAAAGAAAGAAAGAAAGAAAGAAAGAAAGAAAGAAAGAAAGAAACTGCATTGTTATTTCTGCAAAGTCTATTATTTCCATCAACATGTTTAATCTTCTCAAGATGTTCAGGTACATCAGATATGGCATCAGTTTTCTTCTTTTAGATAATTTTGCTATAGGGTGCATGTGCTCACCAAAGCGATAGACAGAAAATGAGAAATCATCCTGGGGGAGGATGGCCATGCCACATTCTCTTCTCAGGATTTTGGACATGCGTGCGCATGTACCTGGCATGAGTTTCAAGGCACTAAGTCTGGGACTCGAACTGTGTTCGACCACGTGGGAATATAGTGCCTTAACCATTATACCACCTACTGGCCCCTGGCATCAGTTCTCTTACTGAACCACCAAATCTGCTATGGATTGTCATTGGCTGTGCTCTGAGTGCATGTTACCCTGGGGTCTCCCTTTGCCATTTTATTGAGTCCTTTTTGCCTCTCTGCTGTGTTGGTTCTTTTATTTCCTGTATATATGTTAATGTCAGCAGTCACATAGTACAATGACTCTTTTCCTGGGGATCCCCTTTCCTGTAAATGGTGTCTATCTCCTGTTTCAATCCTCCCTCTGAAAAAATACCCCATTAGGGAAAGGGCGGATGACTATTCTGGCTGCTTCCTGCAGAGATGAGACAATGATGGGGGATGACAGTCAGGGAGTTTTCAACAAAGGTCTATCTAGGCACCATACCCCTTCCTCCATAGAAGTCATGAGGGGTGTTCACTGGAGACTGTTCTAACTAACTACATTTGTAGTTTGATGGATTCGAAACGAGAAGAGCGATTATAATAATGTTGTGATAGACAAAATAAATTTAACTATTTCTATTGCATATAGCACTTAAAGATAACATCCAGAATTGTGGCTGACAGCATCTTATTGGTGCAGTCAGTTTTAGAACATTTATCAACAAAACCTTAATTTTATCAATTTTTATAACTCATAGACTCTTCTACTATGACTTAAACCTTTAACAACATACTCTAGACTTCCAATTTTATCTTTTCTTTTCTCTTTATCTTAGC